TGGGTGGCATGTATTTTAGTGCCTTCTGTATACCTGCATTAGGAATGTGTAAGAGGTGAGCTGGAAAGTGGGAGACTAGGAAGACATTTAGGGACAAGGGAGTGGCACAGAAGAGGGAGGTGTCAGTGAGTACATATAGGTGGGAAAAGGGTTTGGTGTGGGTGACCAAAGACAAATTATAGATTCAAGGACACAGCAAATGAATACATCCAAGTCTCAGCAAGAATAGCTGCAGGAAAACAAATATTAATTTCTAAATATCTTAACACATTTAATACATTTGGTTAGAGAGGTAAAAATCCTATAAACTAGCTGCAATCTTGTCTTTCTCTTGCCATACATTCCTCTACTCTGCAATACATATATATTCAAAATTATGTGTGTGTGTTGCCAGTACTGGGACATCCTACAAACTACCATAAGCGGAAACAACATAAAGTCATGGCTAAAGTTCTGTATGAATGCCAGGAGAGTATCAAGTCCATGTTTCCTGCCTTGGAGCCTGTGAAATTTAAGAGGGCATTTTCTTTTTTATTGAACAGTCGCTCAGCTTCTATAACTCTCAGCTGTTTATGTAACTGTAAAGTAAAGATTACCAAGGACAATAACCCCAGGGGACTAAGCACAGCTACTACCCCACTTTAAAAATTAAGCCATGGAAAGTATGCTAAAATAATATCATAGAGCTGGTTTAAACCCATAAAAAGCAAGGAAATTCCAAGCCAAGGCTGGAAATCCAAACTGACAGTCTCTCTTAAACCCAGGTCTAGTAAAGGGGGTGAGCGAGGCCAGTATTCCCTCACTTTTCTGGGGTGCAAACCAGATTCATAATACTATCTTAATGCAACTATTGTAATTTCATTTCCTTTCAAATCTTCTGCAGCCTAACTCTGTTTTGCTTTTAAAATAAATGTTTATGGTTATTCATTTTACAAAATGTTAACAATTTAAGGCCAAATCCCCTGTGCTCAAGCCAGAGAAGATGAGAGCGGCTCCAAGCTTTCTTTCTAGTCCCCTAATCTTCAGCTTGAAAACTTCCTTCAGTACTTTGCTTTTGCATTGCTTAGCATTTGCTTTGGTACACTGCACTGCCATTTCTGCCTTCTTGCCTCCAGCCATGCCCTCAGCCCTTGGATGAACGCTGCCATGGATGGTGTACAGCAAACGTTGCGTGTAGTTCACTAGGGAACTCCCTGGTACCAGGGTAAGCTGCTCCAACCTGCTCAGGTCTCCTACAGATATTATTTTACTGCTGAAATAGTTAATGGAAGCAGGACCTGATCTGTGCTTTCTTGAAATAACACTAGCTTCTGATGACTCTGAAATATAAGAGGCAATGGCACGTTTAAAGGGAAACATGGCTTTTGCCTATAGGTAAGACTCTCTAACACGTATGTGTAACATCAAAGCCATTGTTCCTTATAGTAAAGTTGGACAGGAGATGTTTTTTTGATTTCAAGATTTTTTTTTTTCTAGGAGTTCAAAACTATTTTTGACCCTCACTAGGACCAACTAGGACTGTCAAATCTTTTTGTGCAGAGAAACTCCATGCACTTACCAGAGGAGCCAATAATGTCCAGTGTGAGCATGTACATGGCTTATAATAAAGTACATGATTCAGTCTGGGGCACTGCACTGCAGCTTTTTGTGTCCAAGATGATTTCCCCGAGCACCAACTTATTTTACTGTGTTTTTGCAAATGCCTCCATGTCACGTCTGGCCAACTCGGTATCAATAATTAAATATACACTGCTACAGTGACTGATGTATGGTTCCCTACCTTCTACATGAATGCCCTGACTACACGGCTATAGAATCAGTCTCCCTTGCTTTATTTGGCTTGGTGACTGTTTAATTATTTATACAAAACGAAATGTCTTTAGAAGCTTGTGAGTATTTAATATCCTTAAAAGACTTTAAAAGTCTTTAAGAGCTGCCGGTCAGCACCTTCCCTTGGGCTAGGCACAGTTCAAAGCCCTCTGTGCAGCAACATTTAACTTCTTACAGAAGGTGGAGCATCTCCAAAAAGTGACTGTGATCTCTGTAGGAACTCTGTGTTCGTACTTAAATACAAAAAATTTAATCACTCTGTGCAATGTTGTCCTACTTTTACACTAGTTCAGGATGATATTTAAACTCTGGGAAAAGTTTGCAAGCCCTTCACGTGCAACTGTATTCTCTTCTCCATTTTTGGTACCAAACAGCTGTGTTTTCTGCATCCATGTCAGCTCTGACCTTAGCCTTAGTATGGGAAAAGCAAATTCAAGCTCCTGCTCTGAAGTAAACATTATCAAGGACTTACAACTGGATGTCTCACTGCCTAGCTATTAAACTCCATAAGGATGAGGATTTGTCTTCATAAGTTTGATCAGAACTGCTGTTCTTACCCAGCTTTCAGTATATGTCCATTAGAATAGTGTTTTTTAACCTGAGGCTAAGCACACTACAAAAGTAAATCCACCACTACATAGCAATCCATGTCTTTACTAAAAAATGTATAAAGATCTGCAAACTTAAGATTCAAAACCAGTTTATGCAGATCTTTAAGAAAGCAGAATACACCTCATCCTTCAATCCTTCAATAAGAGCTTGTTTCATTAAAAGTATATCCACTTAAATATGTGCAGACACAAAGCTTCTTTTATAATTATATTTAAGAGACAAATGACAAAAGAAAAAAATAATCAAAGGACTGGCAGAGATTCAAACTCAAACAATTCTAATTTTTGGATTCCGTGTTACATGCTGAAATTAGAAGTACTGCTTGAAAAGGCTGCCAGGATCTTATCACTGGGAAATTAACAGTAAAGTCTTAGAGCCTTTAATAGGAATGTTGTAGTGCAGATTTTAAGCCAACCTTTCCATATTAGGAAGGTAAACTTCTTAAATTGCAATGGAGAGATAGATTTCAAAAATGTACTTATGGATCATTCTCTATTAAATTATAGACAGTTATGAGAATAATTTCTAAAGGCCTCAGTTTGATTCTTACCTTTTTTTTAAATGAGTTTGAAACTTTCCATAAAGGAATGTAGTGTAAGAACTACACTTGGAGTTGAACATCATCTTCACCCTGTGCTATGATAAATACTGCTTTTCTACTTTCACACTCATTTTGGACAATACTTAAATTCTAGAGAGCTTGAGGTTCGTCAACCCTTTCTGTGCAACTGTCTTCTCCTCCCCATCTTGAGCACAAAGCAGTTGTGGCTTCCGGACCCTGTCAGATGTAACCTTAGTGCTAATTTGGGAAAAACAGTTCTCACATTTAGTGCTGAAAGACTGATAATCAAATCCACAAAGGAATGACATATTTTCAGTGATGAAGTACAGGGGCTGTGGTCAGTGGCTGTCCTTTCCCACTGAATAAATCCTCCTGACTCAGCTGTCATTGTGCAAATCTACTTCACAAAGGCAGATTTTGCTTGCATGATTGGACTTTACGTCATCATGACTATCATAACAAAAGTGGGTGTTGCGTTATCTTTAACATATTATTACTCTACCAGGTACCAAGATAGACAGATATGTCTATAACTCTTGTACTCTGCTGTCTCCTGAACTCCAGAAATCTTGTCTATTATTATAACAAAATAATCCAATGAATACCACTTCTGGGTTACTAGGCAAGCACAGACTGTACGACTGAAATGTGATAGACCTGAATCTGTTCTCACAGTAGTCCACATGAATTATGACAAAACTAAACAGGACAAAAATATAGATTCATACAACTTGTCATATACACATTTATCTGATACATATATCCAATGCGTAGGTCATATGCAGAGCTGTTAATCCAACCTGCAGCAGCACTTTGTGGTTTTAATTATGAGTCAGGGATTGGTTTTCTTATGGATTGTATATACAGTTAATATGATAACCAGTATGATACTAGAAGTTCCTGACTAGCTAACAAGAAACTGTGTTGTTAAAACATAGTCTGGTCTTACACATTGAAAATTTGTGTGAACAGTTAGCACTAAATTGCAAAACCACATAAGAAACCCTGGACCTCAGCACACATAAATAATGTGGCTAGGAGTGAAAAATATCTAAGAACTTCGTGAATTCAAAACCAGCACTGTAGATGCAAGCAGTGTATACAGCGAAAGGGGCTAGTTAACTCTTCAAAAATTAAAACATAAATTAACTCAGAGTAACTACAGTTAGTATTACTGGCTCACTTAAGTCAAATGTCAGCTTTTTCAGATGATGAATTCTCATTTGCAAAATGCTCATATGTTTGTATACCTAAAGCCACATACAATTCCATTTAAGATATTGGAATTTTGACTTCAGCAGAACTTGGGTAGAGTACTCAGATGCATTTTAAAGTGTTTTGGTACGTGAAGCCAAAACCAGATTTTCTCTGAAACTATCACTCTCACTCCATACACACAAACAAACAACTAGAGACCTGATTAGTAATTTCCATACAATATTGTAAGCTATCGTGCTTTGTTAAACTACTGAATATTTTGAAACCCAATAGTTTGGAATGCCCAGGACCCTTTTCACTTTTTCCAAACTATTGACAACTCTGGCCTGCTCAGGAAGCTTTGCTGATCCACTTTCTGTGGGACTTTGGTGGCCAGCGTCAGATCCCCTTCAACCTACTCAAAAATTAAAGCCCATACAAGGCACAGTCCTGCCCAAGGCTCTGTAGCTACTTTGTGTTGATGATGTGTGGCTGATGCCTCCACAAGCCTCGAGTTTCTGTCCAACTTGCACCCTACAGTAATCTGCTCCTGTGACAGGACTGCGTTAGCCATAGTGTTTGTGTGTGTTTTAAATTTAATCACACTCCACAAAACTCAATGTAATTAAAACAAAAATACTTCTTTATAAATCATTTTTGATTAGCTTAACTGGTTTAAGGGAAAATTCTGCTCCAAATAAAAGAGGAGTGTATATGTCACAGATGTTGAGGAATGAAGCTCTGTGCTAGTCTTTAATGGCTAGATGAATGTAACCGGATAAATGTACATTTTACATACCATTTAGCCACCGGGAGTCATGCTGCTCTGTTCTGATTGGATGATGATGCCCCAGAGTTCGGAAAATGGCAAAGTCCCTGCCCATGAAGTCTGCTGCTGTGCCAGAATACAGTTCTCCATCTGTGGGAGGACGTAATTGTCAGAAACATTTCTCAATTTTCCAATCATGGTAAGTCAGAGAAAGCTGTCAGTCCTATGTTTATATTACGCTAATAGGGATAATGAGAAAATTACAAAGCAATAAGCCATATGCAATGTATTGTCATTGAAAATATATGATCGGACCTACTTTCTCACTGCAGAGCTTAACTGTAACCTCTCTCAAACAAGCTGTATCTCCCAACTGCTAGTGCAGCCACTTTTCAAAAATATGTTTGGATTCTTAGGCTGGAACAGTGACAGCTTGTACACCTATTCCTGGCAGGCGGTAGTATGAAGCACCCAAAACCCTACCTAACTGTGAAGTTACCCCGTTTTGAACAGGAGATTGGACTGCAGGCCTTCAGAAATTCCTCCCAACCTACTGGGTTTTTTGTGACTCTGTTGGGAATTGGAGAGTCGAGCTTATTCATTCTTGGTTCAGAAAGTCCTGAATTCCCTTCACTTTTTCATATAAAAACTGTCTTTTGGTGGTTTTTTGTTTGCTTGTTTATCTTTTTTTTTTTTTTCTGAGCAAGCAGATCCTCAGAAACCAGTATCTTCTACAGGAAAGACAGAACACCCTTTCTCCTTTGGCCACCTTTGTAACTGTGATGCTGGCAAAAGACAACAGCTAAGGCATAGAATAAATGAGATCATTCCCTCCTATCTTCATCCCATGCCTATCACAGCGAAGAAGTGAATTAAAAATTGACCTGTAATACTGCAGCCCATAAATGGCACATACATAGCCTAGCTGGAGGTGAAACTCATAATATTAGAGTCCCAGTGTGCCCCTCCTCAGCCAGTTGGAAATATCGTGGAGTAGGCAGAGAGAGAGACAGTCTAAACTCAAACGAACAGGCCAAGTGAAATACCTGCCAACTGGTAGAGAGAATAATGATAATAAGTACATCGTAATGAGACCCACAGAAAACAACCAGGGATCAAAGCTCAACACATATCTTTCTGGCATTAAGGTAGACCTTGTACACTAAATTACTCTGATTTCAAAATGCTAAAAATACATTTTTTATGATTGTACCCTTTTATAACTGTATGTGAAATGAGAGACTCTATCCTATACTTTTAATGCGGAATGGAAGAATATTGTTCCTTCCAACTACTATTTTCAAGCTACCCATCTTAAACGGGTCTCCTGTGAAAAAGACAAGTTTGAGGATAAAATAACTCTTTCTTTAAGCTAAGGTAATAATTTTTTCATGGTCGTGATGAACTCTACCATATTCTCATTTTAAAACACCCTTTAGGAGCAAGTTTATCATTTTCATGGCAATTTTAGGTATTTCCATGGTGGGACAACCAGATCCAAGCATGCCTATTGAATATCACTGGCATCTTTTCCCCAGAACATTGACACCATGAAATTATCAATTGAACCTACAGTGGCTGTGTACCATATGGTAGTCATGAAAGTCAGGAAGGGTGAAAACATGATAGCGGAAAGGCGTGGAATTGAATGAATTTACAACAGAGATTAGAAGCAAATAGAACAGTCGTGCCCAGCAGGAGGTGTAATCAGAAGTGAAACAGAACAGCATATCATTAATTAACGATTTATCATTCCTCTATGTCATTTTCAACTTTTTTTGAAGGGGAGACAATCACTTAATTATAGTGATTATTATGTACAGGGTATGCAGCTGAGATTTTAAAGAACATAAAACCTTTTTGCTGGTGAAAAGGGCTTTGATGCTATGCTTAACCTTTCTTTAACCTTATCTTCATTTTCTTGTCTTTCAGTCCCTAGTGAGTTCTGATAAATCAATATAAATCAAAGGGGAAAAGAAAAAAACAACGAGCCCTATTTTGCTTCCTACTTATCAACAGATCTGAAGGTCAATCAAGAAAGAAGAAAATTCTATATTTAATACTACTTTATTAAAACTGAAACTAACATAGCTCAAAAACTCATTAAAATTATTATTTTCAATATTTAGAATTGTTAGGGTTTTTGGCGGCTCAGTTTCTAACTCAGTATGTAAACACTACTGAAAGTAACGTATCTTCCAGGTTTGACTCAGTTCAACTCAAAGAGTTTTTAGTGCTACTAGGCTGTTGTGACTGGTACTTTTTCATCAGTGGAGACAGAGTAGAAGTTTTGCCAATAATAGGCTTCAGCATATTCCAAAGGGGGAAGGGTCTGTAGGAAACTAGTTGACCTTTCTTTGCTTTCTACTACAGCCCCTCCAAGTTTCAGTATACCTAGACCAGTGCCTGCAGTTTGAACTGACTTGCTGTAGTCATGCAAAAAACAGATTTTTGACTTCTCCCAGATAGAAATACCAAGGAATACCATTTATTTTTTAAGGCTTTAGACAATTTTTGCTAAATTCAGGGTGAGCCTCAAGTCATGTCCCAGATGTGCACATACTTTGAGTCAGTACTATTCAAAGGCTATATGGGGATTTTGCCTCCTGTCTAGACAGAAGTACATTCATCTTTGTTTCTCTATGCAGATCTTCTTTTGGACTGAAATTTACTCATTGCTGGTCTAGAAAATGATTCTCTTATGTCAGGACAGTTTTCACTGTGCTATTTCCATTGTCAGTAGTTTTAAAAGCAGTTTTCATTAACTTTAAGAAGAAAATGGAAATGAACCGTTCAAAAACTGACAAACATTTCTCAAGGGGAAAGAATGAAGTAAAAAAAATATAAAAATTGTCACTTTCTATTTCCAGCCCAGCAGCATAAAGCAGCGACTGTCCAGAATAAGCTGATGGCCCTCAGTTGTTTGCATAGGAAAAAGCTCTATGTTTTGGACAGAAACCACTTTATCCTAAAGGAATAACACGTTGACATATGAATGCAAACAGAAATACACATCCTGACTTTACTAAATAAAATGGCAACAATTAAAGCCCATAGTAATGCTTTTTTTGGGAGGAGGAATCATTTCCCCCCATACTGTACATAAGCAGCATGGAACTGTGAACACCTCTCCAAGTTCATTAGATACAAAGATGTTAAAAACTAAGCAATATACATCTATTTGATGAACTGTTTCTATTCAGCTTTTAAAGAAGACTGCATTCTTTAAAAAAAAAAATTTTTTTGGAGAGTACAGAAATGTAAGCTTCCTTTTTGAAAGAATAAGAAAGTTGAATGGATGGGGAATACAGACAAAAACAAGTGAGATTGCTCTCACTGGTAAAAGGATTCCTAAATGAAATCTGCTATCCTTGGTTAGTAGGTTTATTCACTAAAGTTAAGATTGTCAGATATACATAGTAGTAGTTTGACTTCACTCCTTTTAAAGTCAACAATTAAAACTTCCCAGAAAGCAGAATAACTCTAAAATCCTGAACTTCATGTGTACTTAGTAGGTAATTTCTAATAAATAGGATAGCAGAGTTCTTCCTTGGTAAGAAACCACTGTACTTCAGATCACACTGATACATATTTGGGAGCATTAAGGTACCTAAACTGACTTAAAAAAAATTAAAAATTGTAAATTAAAAAAAAAGTAATATCAGTGAGACACAGGAATTTTGAGGATTCTGGATCATCAGACCTTTTGAAAATCCCAAAGAGTCATTTCCTAAAGAGCAACTGACTGATAATGGAACAATGCTGTCTCCTCCTCTGAGCTTTTTTCAATCATCCCAGTACAATTGCTTTAGACTAATACATTCAGTGATTTTCCTTCTGTGATTATATTCTTTGAAAATCATGCTGCCTTTCATTTTCCTCCTGCCCTGGAACACACACTAGTAGTGCCCAGGGACTGCTTAGTCTCTACATTTTCATGCATTAGCCAGCTCAAAGGGAGATTGTTTAGTTAGCAGCACATACATGGGAATGGCTGAAAAATGTCTTACATTACTAGGAACTAGTTATATCATGTTCACAGCTGGCGTTTACTTTAGAGTAGAATAACTACCTTTAATGAACAACTCTTAAAAAAATAATGAAAAATATTTGCAGGTGGATGGAGCAAGGAATGTATATGGGAAAAATATTGGAACAATTTAATAATGATGAACTGTTTGTTTTGGTTTTGTTTTGTGTTTTTTTTTTTTTTTAAATATTATTGATTTTATTTTATTTTTAGGAGAGAAGGAAAATTGAAGATCCTTTTAACACTTTAAAATTACATTTCGCTTACCTAACATTGACCTTCTAGTTATGGAGTCAAGAACATACTCTTCTTCCACATTTTGCAAAATCTCTGTCTAGTATTTCTGATGAAGAACAGAGGTCATTTTCCCCTCCTGTATTTAACCATATAAACTACTCTTACTTCTCAGCCTTCTTTTATCTTCCTGAGAGTTACATTGTGTTACTAATTATAACATTGCATTTTAACGAGTGATGGGTAATTTTTTTTACATAGTTGCCTTCCTGAACCTAAGATAAACCATGGTTGCTTGTGGGGACAAATACTTCTGACACAAGAGGGGCTATCACTCAGCTCAGGAGAAGGGAAGAAGCAGTCCATCCATGTTCTTGGTGCGATGCACTTGTGATCAAGAGGCTCCTCTGGCCTTCATGGCCCTATTCACTGCTTCACTCCAGCGTTACCTACTTCAGAGAGTAGTTGGACTAGACCTTTCCATGCAGTCATTGTTTGGCCAATTCATTCTGTGCTCCTCATCTATTTTGGGGGGAGGAAATTATTTTGCCTCGGGTCATCATCGTACCACAAAAATTATGCTTTTTTGGCAAAGACAAGAGTAAGTTGTTGTGAATCAGTGGTGAATCTGGTGTATACTTTCTGAAATATCAGGGGAACTTCTGCAGTAAAGGACTGAAGTAAATGCAACATTATAATCAGTAACACAACATGACTGCAAGGCAGCTAGAGGAGGCAAAGAAGAAAGGATGCAGCAATATTAATTTCAGCTTCACCCTGAGTTTTGTATAAGTCACTGAAGTAGAAATTAGTCACTGGCTTTGAATGTTGAATTTGCACCATTTTCTATAGTGCTAATACACCCATAGCTCTAATTGAAGCCTGATTCAAAACAAAATATCATGCTCAGTCTACTGTTTATTAGGAGAAAAAATACATGAAGTGAAAATTATAGTGATAGGAAGTGGGCTCAAGAAAGCAAAGATGTTTTAAAGACATGAAATCTAAGCCAAGGGAAATAAGATAATCATATTTGTGCTGGACTGAGTAGGGGAAAAAAAAAAAAAAAGAATGTGAAAAGCTAGATGCTGTTGACTTTGTGCAGTTGCATACCGAGTATACCATGTAATACTGGCTTGTCATCATTCTCTTTCTTTACTGTATATTAAAGTAAATAGTAAAGCTATTCCCTTGAGAGTAGCTCTGCCACAAATACAAGTTGCTCCAGGCACTAATTTATACACTGGCCTTTTACTCACAGATTTTTTTCCTTTCTGTTTGTAAAGCATACAAGTCGGAGCAAGATGTGGACATCTTTCCTGTTTTTCCTGTTAAAAAGTGTGTGTCCCCAGGGTAGCTCATCACCTGTGATCATTAGAGGCTTCGAAGATCAGGAAATGAGGCACACTTAGAACTAAATTTTTGTTAATGTCTGTTTTGAATAGCTTAATTTTTAAATGTAATGTAAATATAATAAGGGTAGATAGTAAGCAAGGCCCTAGACTAGCAATATGGACAAAGTCCTGGAGAAACCAATGTAGCTGGTTATGTGTCATTTCCTAAAGACTTCTGAGATAAGATAATCTGCAGTTTTCTGAAACTATTGTTCCCCATTGGATTTAGAGTTGTAAGAAGTTGCCAGAAAGTTACATGTTAAGGGTGAAGTGGCTACACCTGGGCAGAGTGGAAAGAAGAATCTATTTGTCTCACTCTTAATTTCTTCTCACAAAACATCTTTTTGCCTTTTTTGTAAAGAAGAAGGAAGAACAATGAACACAATTAATTCAATTAAATAAGTTAATTCGATAAATGCAATCAATTGGATTAGTTCAATTAGATTAACACAGTCCAGGTGTTCTATACTTACATATTCCATGAAATGAAGTATTACTAATTCAGAAATACTTAGTTTATTGAACTCCCTCTGGTCTGGCCAGGAGTTTAATTGTATTCACTGTCAGATAGATCTCTTCATCTGAAACATCATCTTAAGGCCTAGACCTGTGCCCGCTTGTGTACCTCCAGCTCACATGCAGGTACAGTTGGTGACAGACCTTCCTTGACAGCAAAACTGATGTAAGAAATTACTTATTCCTGCTCTCACTTTGCTCTCAGCCATGCTGGTGCAACTGTCAGTGTGGCCAGCCTGTAAACTAGGCAGTTAAAATACCTGCAAGGTCACCTAACTCTGAGGAGGAGAAACATTTTGCAAAATCAAGGTCTTATAGAGGTATAAAGTGGCTCTTGTGATACCTGAATCTTGGTTTACTCACACCTTATTTCTCAAGACACCTGAGTCAACTGTATTAAAATGAAACCAGAATTACTTTAGCCTGGGAATAAAACGCATAAAACAAAGCCCTATCATAGATGGTGCAAGGAGAAAAAAGGCAGAAAAAGGGCAATTATTTATAGTGAATGCAAATCTCATTGAACTTGTATTGTGGCACCTACCTACTAAAAGAGAAGCTGTCAGCAGTTTAGGATCATAAGGGCTTTTCCCTCGGCCATTTTCAAAATGTGAATCTTCCATTCTAAAAATGTTGTCCTGTGGAGTGGGAAAAAACAAAGAAAAAACAACATTATTTGATGAAAGAACACTAAAAATAAGTTGAACTAAACAAAGTGCACTATATAAGATTCATATTGGATTCAGGGAAGTCAAGTTACACTAGGTGAGAACCTGGCAAAAGTGCCCACCTGCTTATCAGTATTGTGCTGAAGGCTAGTCAAAAGCACAAAAACACATGCACAGCTTGTGTCTCATCTATTCTACTTCACAAATAATTTACATGGTTTTATTGAATTCTTTTTGCTTTCACTGAGAATACATTTGACTAATAGTAACTGAAGAAGCTGTAATTTGAAACTTCTGTCTGAAAAAAGATAAAACCTATTATTCATTGACTATGTTTTTCTGAAATATCCTGCAAGTGTAGATTAGTACATAATACGATGCTAAATTCTGCTTTTCCTAACCTGAGTATTTAGTGACTGACTGTTTCATGCATCCTCATATTCAATTTTAACTGCATCTGGAGAGGTTTTTTTTCATTTTTCAGTACCATGCAATGAAACTTCTAAAATATGCAGGCTGAGGGCAAAGCATATGGGGTTATAAACAAAGATTAAAAAGGGCCTCAGTCAACACTAAGTCAAATCAAGGTCAGTAAATCCAAAGCAATGGGCTTTTCAGTACACTTAATTACTTCAACTTTAACTGGGGGACCAAATCTGCCAATCAATTTGAGTGCTGTGTTTATCTTACATTTTGCACTGAGCTTAAAACCAGAAGAATAGATGCTTTTGGCACAGTAGACTTCTACATTCACAGAAGACTTCTGGAGGTCACATTGAAAACTGAAATTTCCATTTCCCACCTGCACTGTGGTTAATTTGCGTTTGACACTTAATTAAGTCAAGGAACCCCAAAGCTGGGACAACTTCTACCTCCCAACACTTGCTCTGGTTACTTAGGCCTTTGCACCCAGTTCCCAGTTGCTTATGTCTAAAACTTCTCTATGAAATAGAAGCTGAAGGACTTCCTTTAACAAATATTTGCAGGACCAAATAGCTTAAGCTGTAATATCAACTACAGCTTGATACAGCCTCTTTTTTTTCTTATTGGCCGATCAGAGATTACTCATCTGTTTTAGGAAAATAAATAAAAAAGATAACTTCAGAATATATGTCTAAAATATACGTATTGATAGTAGAAAGCAACTAAGAAGATATTTTTCCCTATTCATTTCATAACAAATCAGATCTTTACCTTGATTCTCAAGTTCCTACAGCACTTACTGCTTCCACAGACTAAGAAATCCCCCCTTTCTTATTCTCATCATCCCTTTCCACAGACAGAATCATGGAGCTGCTGGCTGGAAGGACTCTTCAGGAACTGTTAAGTCCAGGAAGACTTGAAGGAAGACTGTTACCAACACAGGGTATGGTCAGTTTCAGTTTTGTCTTGCCAAGTTGTGAAAATCTTCAGAAATGAAAACTATATAACCTTTCTGGGCAACTTACATTGCCTTTTTAGTGAAGCATTTTTTTTCTAAACTGAACCTTCCAAGGAACAACTTGTGACTTTTAGCCCTTATTATATCATCTGCAATGATGGCAAAGAGTGTGAGTCTTTCCTTTTCGTAACTACCCTTCCAGCAGTTATAGGCTGTTCCTAAGCTGCCCATTCAGATTCACTTCTCCAAATTTTATTCAGCAATTGCTTTGGTAATGCTTATTTAATGTGAACACCATTTAGACAAATAGCTGATGTCTTTCTCACGAGCAGTGAATTCAAGAATTTGGAAAGCAGGCCTCCCTGACACCCTGCCATGCCCGAATTCAGGCATGGGCCAGGCCAGTGACCAAACATATTTCCAAACGGTATTACTTTAAACCTATTGAGTCCATGTTTCTGGAAGTGAGTCACAGGCTACCGTTTTTATTACAGGCTTGTTTAATTACATCATGCAAGCACATATCCGTGTGTGTGTATTACATATTTTCAAAGGAACATCAGAAGGACTTCACACTTCACTCCATTTACTGGAGAAAAAGATGAAGGAAAAATGGATTGTTAGCAGGATAGTCTATCTGGAGAGTCTAACTGCACTGTAAGATAAAAAGTTTGGACACAACTTCATGAAGTTTGATCCCAGAATTCAACCTCAGTCTCCTAAGGCACCTTCTTGTAGATGTAGCCTGCCTGATTATGTTTATACAGTCACCCTGTATCTGTAATATCTTGCACATTATTACATTTCTTTCTTTCTCATTGTCTTTCTTTCTATTTCTTAATAGTCCAGACACATTCCTTATTTCTATCTAATTTTCTAACTTTCCTCCTTCTAACCAAAAATGAACAAATAATGAAAAATAAAACTGTTTTTAAAATTCTGCTGTAGGGTCCATATCTAGATCTTGCACAATAAATAAAAGTGGTAAATTAAGCAGAATGCTAGACCTCAACTACAATAATAGAAAATGGCACTAATGCTACAGGCCATTATTGAAAAATGTTATTATCAATCTACATTTTCTTGGGATTTCTTCTTATTAGATGATAATTGCTCAACCTGCACACCAACTGATATTTGATAAGGCTATAAAGTCAGTGGCATGACAGTTAAAGCAGAATATATTCCCAAGATAATCCCATGTGTCATTATAAGACAAATAGGAAACATGTGGAAAGTGATTTGGTGTAGGAAGGATCTGATTTTTTACTGTATTCTTCTGGTTTATGTCACTGTAACTCTACTGATACTGGTGCGTAGCAAGCAAGAAAGAGTGGAGAACTGGGTCAGCATAAGTCAGAGATGATCTACCCTTCTCTTTGTGAAGTAAAACATTTGAAATAAGAGTCATGACAGGGAAATCCTGCAGTGTTTTCGTATCTCAGTTAAAATGCTATGTAGAGACACATACTATACGTTTCCAAATGTATGGGCAAGTAATAATGACAATAAATACATCACTGTTAAGTGCCAAATAAATGTATCATGGTTAGCCTGAGGCCCCAAGGAGTTTTGATAAACATGCTATATGAAGTCTAACGTGTTACAAATAGGGCAACTTGCCCAAATAGCTTTCTGGGTGCTGAAGTCAAGCTACCTCTATCTACAAACCAACAATAAATACAGGCCACGAAGGAATAAAGTTTTTTCTATGTACTTCCTCACCCCCATTTGAGAAGACTAGGAAGCAATATGACTAATGATAGGTACTTGATATTACTAATCACTGCTCTGTGCCATTTGCACCCAAATTCTGCCCTGAGATGCTGTAACAGCACGAGATGAGAAGTCAATGCCAGTATTTGAGGGTAAAGTTTCATCTCGCCATTTTTTATAAAAGATGTGCTTGATCATTTTCCAGAGCGTTAGCTTCCGTGTCAGATGAGAAACTCAGGCTATGCTCCTGGTGTTATAAGTCCTGTTCACCTAAATTACACCTGAAAATCTGTGTGCAGGAAGCAGAGAGGGTGAGGGCAGCTCTTGGGTAATGACTCAGCACCTAAGTCAGTCTTCCAGGAGATAGCAAAGACCAAGGCGTTGCTCAGAGACCTAGGGGAACTTTGGACTGTGCGAGTGTGGCCTTCTTTTGCACAGTACAGACCAGAGCTTTTAGCTAGAAAGAATGCACATTATTCATTTTCAGAAAAAAATCTGATTAGTTTATAATTTTGCTGCCTCTTGGGTTTTGCAGTTAATTGAATGCAAAGAATGATACTGCAGTGAGTCAGCAAATACCTTAGCCATAAACAGCAATAAAAACTGTGTATTCACCAAATGCTCACTGTTTCAAAGTTTTGGGAGGGCTATTATATAATCAAAGACAGGAATTCATGACAAAGCAAGCTTCCCAGGTAGGAGAAAATTCTCTAGAAATACAAAAAGGAAAAAAAAAAAGATATTCAAAGAAAAGCCTTTGTAACTCGAGGATACCAATGTATTGTCCAAAACTCTTCTTTAGTTGCACTGGCAGCCCAAAAGGACATTACAATGTACTTCTAACCTTTTTAAGGAATCTTATAGCTAAAAACCTTGCTATAGTATATTTTATTTAGTTTGTGCTGGGTTATTAAACTCTAGGTTTACATCTCATTGATGCCTCTCTATAATCCAGAAAAAACCTACTGAAAATGAGATTATTTAGGTCTTGAAATTCCACAAACTCATAATGACAACAACTGACTGCTGGCTCATGGTATGGCATGAATTATTTCACCTAGTAAATGACTTGTGTGGTGGGAGATTATGCTTCTGGCTCCTTAAAACACATGTTTTCCTGTAGCACATAGCATGATAGATGGCAAGACTCAGCCAGAAAGAACTACAGTTCAGTCCTGGAAATGAACGTAAAGTTATCGTGATTCCCATTCTTTAGCTGATGATCTGCCATTACATGGCTCCAGATACTCACTTTCAAATGGCTGAAATACGGCTGAAATAATGCCCTATATCACGATACTGAGTGGTGACAAGACGTTGCTATTTGACAAGACTGATTTCATATTTTGCTATTCAGTAGCTTCAGTCAGCCAGTGTATCAATACAATATAATGTTATATATACATATAAACATATATATACCAACTGTATACCCATATGTAGAACTAAATGCATAAATACCCAGTATGATAACATTTTAAACCATTTTTGTATCTCTGTCAGCAGCTAGGCCATTCAGAACTGTCTCAACAAAACAAGGAGAAGAAAGACGAAAACATACACTGTTAGGTTTTGGTTAAAAAAAATGTAAAGTTCTTCTTTCCCAGTTTAGTATCACTTCTGGCTTGTAAGAAAAATGTGTGGTTAGTGGGAAAGAGCTAACCTACCAGAATGGACAGCACTGACTGCTGAGTTCCAGAGTAATTTTTTTCCTGAAACTTTTCTGGCGATTCACACAGAAACCATATCAGAATTGCAGAGCCTAATGCAGCAAAACCACTGCCGGTCAATAATGAATCAATGCAGTGCAAGCAAATGATCTGAAGAGGCTGTGTTGATGGAGTGTATACAGCTACCAAGAAGGTATTACTGG